ATAGGGAAGTCTGGGCATCTTTGCTTAGACTGCTGCCCCCGCGACCCGGTCCCGGATAAGCGGAGGAAAATGAATGGATGGATGGAGAATATTAAGTTCTTAGTTTTTTTAATTGTTCTTAATCATAACAAACCTTGTCATTGATACTGGGTTTGTTCTTAAGGTACAAAAATGGAGATTAATAGTATTAAATGTGTATATTCAAAAATCTTATTATAAGCAAGAAGTAAAAAAAAAATGGTGATAATATTTTGTGCCACATCACCCAGCCCCTAATACAAAGACTGCAGTGTACTGCACATCATAATCCCATATTCTGCTGGATCTAGTCACATACTATGCTAACTGCCAGACTTGAGATGGTGCAATACAGTCACAGAAAATGCTAAAGGAATACTTTAATATTTTGGAAAATGTGCTCATTTGCATTCATGCCATGACTTGGATGAGAAGACTGATGCCACTTTCAAATCTGTACAGTCAAAACATACCTTGAGCTAGCAGCCAATGACCTTAGCTTAGCATGAAGACTAAAAACAGCTGGCCACAGTATCCATCTATTAGCTCCACTAAAGCTACATATACTGTAGCATGTTTGTTTAATCTGTAGAGAATCTAGTCACATACTATGCTAACTGCCAGACTTGAGATGGTGCAATACAGTCACAGAAAATGCTAAAGGAATACTTTAATATTTTGGAAAATGTGCTCATTTGCATTCATGCCATGACTTGGATGAGAAGACTGATGCCACTTTCAAATCTGTACAGTCAAAACATACCTTGAGCTAGCAGCCAATGACCTTAGCTTAGCATGAAGACTAAAAACAGCTGGCCACAGTATCCATCTATTAGCTCCACTAAAGCTACATATACTGTAGCATGTTTGTTTAACCTGTAGATAAACTGAAGTGTAAAATCAGCAGTTCAGCAGTCAGAAACGTTATGGAGTCTCTGGTGATTGTCTGACCTGGATATTATAGCAAATTGAGAAGAAAATATATTAAGGCCCATTCAGGTGATCAGTCAGTAACATATCCACTAAAAATCAGAAGATAAGTTTTAGTTCATATTTTTATGGCTGGTCAGTTGTTTGGTCCCTAAGATGGGTTGTTGTCCTTTGTGAGTGTGTATGTCCAGGCTTGTTGTCATTGTCATGTGAAAAGTGAGACAAAGGTCAGGATGACTGAAAATAGGTAGAATTAATTTGCCGTAAATGTTACAGGTGTGCTAGAGCTGTTATTTGACACATCACTTATTCCCCTATCCACTTAGTCTGAGTACCAGCAAAGAAACAAAAAATCTATTTTCCAACATGACAACACATGCCTTCACAGACTTTGGCTCAGAACTAAATTGCCAACTTTCTCTCTCCAATCTTTTTGTCTTCCAGTTCCAACGCAACTAATCACACAATACAACTGTCATCATTAGCATGTGTTTGCGTTTATGTTGTAAGGCAACTTCACAATCAACAGTGATTAGATCAATGGTCTCAGCGCAGCAGCATACAAATTACTGTTCACCTTGGCTAACAAGTGGCATTTATGAGGTGCGATCAATCATTATTTTATTCTCATTCAGATGTTTGACTTCAAAAAATGAAAAAAAAGATGATAATACGGGCAGCAACAGCAGTAAACTATGTATTTTGTTATGATGAAACAGAGAACAGAGGTTTACCCTACTGAGACAAAGCAGGGCAATACATCTGCTGAATGTGATTCCAGTTTTACTGTTTGCTAATGGAAAGAGGAGAAAGACAAGAGATGCAACCACTTTCCTTTTGCTTTAGTGGTTCAGTTTAAACAAACTTAGTTTAATTTGGACATTGCCTTAATTAAGAATAAAATGACTAAAGAATATGCAAGGGCCACTAGACATTAGCTGCAGAACTCCACAGTCTGAGACTAACAAAGAGAGTTTGCAGCCAGGCCAGGCACTTCATGGGGGAACAAAAAGAAATGCATTCTTACCTGAGAGTAAACATCTCCACAGGAGAGTAGGCTGACACAGTGATAAAAGCAGAGACTGTTTCCCTCTGTTTCATGGGTGTAGCCGGCACCATGACCATAAAATTACTATCCAGCCTGTGTTCAGCAAGTGGAGGAGGAGTGGGGTTCTGGTAAAGCCTCACACTGCCAATCCTCCTCAGAGGTGTTGAGGTGTAGGAACCAAACAACCCTTCCTGGCTTGAGCGGATAAAGTTCTCCTTCCTGGCCTCCTCTGAGTGGCACTCTCCCGCTTCTGTGGTCTGCAGCATGTAATAGAGCTCCACCGCAGTACCCTCGGAAACTTCAAAGTTCCTCTGGCGTCCTGGCACTACACTGGGTGGGCTGAACCAATTGGCCAGTGGCTCCAGCTCAGCCACACACAGACCCAGCTCCCCCCGGAGCTGGCAAGCGCCACGCACCTCCTGGGTCTCATGGAAAGCAAACATGTGTACACAGGGCAGCTTGTCAGTGGTGCTGTAGTCATCCCAGTCCCTACCAGCAACATAAAACAGAACCTGGACTTTGGGCTTGGCTAGGTGAATCTTGGTATTCATGATAAATGTCTGCACCTTCCAGTTGACGGTAAAAACAGAAGAGGCAGGAAACATCTCTGTGCTCTGTAGGAGCTCTAAAGGGACTGGCTGTTCCACAGAGAGAGGTCCATAACTGGCATTCACTGAGGGCAAACTTCTCGCCTGGTAGATGAAGAAGGGCTCAGTCCGCGACATCAGGCTGGAGTTCCTCATGAAGTCCTGGTTGGCTTCTTTCAGGAAGAATGCCAAGTCAGCATTAAGCAGCTGGTAGTGGACAGGCAGGTATGTGGGGATGGAGGAATATCTCTGCAGTCCCTCTAACACTCGACAGTCAGCTACTGAAACACAGAAAAGAAGAGCTGAGTCAGGAAAGAATCACATGTAACCTACTCTCCCAAAAAGCACATGATGTTTCTTTATGTTAAACTTTGGTGGGCTAATCACTCACTATAAAATTGTGTTCTGTTTATAATGGGACATTACTTATACTTCATCCCATTTTAAATTTGTGACTCATTCCATAGTATGGCACTGTAGTGTTGTAGGCAATGGACATTACTGTAGGCTGCGAGAAAAATGAGTTAGTGTTTTTGTACTGTAACTGTACATGTATAAAGACAACACATCAGCAATTAATCAGTTCAGTGATCAACAAAAAACAACTAGAGAGCAATCAGAGACATCAATCCTCTGCCAAGGCAGCTCACTGTCCCCATAATGCTATTACACCTAAAAGCAGCATCCCCATGATAGTTTGACCATTAAAATGTGATTCCTGGAGCAAGAGAACCTACTACTGGCATTTGGAATAACACTGATATCATTATTAGCTTGACAGTTATTAAAAAAAAAACAATATTTCACTAATGGAAATTTTTTTCACGATCCAGCTTAGTAAATACTGAAAACACATCAAATATGTTGACAGCCTAGAGAATCAGCAGAGTTTCAGCTAAATTGTTATGTTTGTTGTAAGTCTGTGGCTTTCTCTCTTTTTTTTTTTTTTTGTCATGTCACAGTAGCTAGTTTTCCGTGAGTCCTATAAATGTGACCATTCTGGATCAGCAGATCTTGGATATTACTAGGACCCAGTCCAGACTTTGGTGTCTGGCAGTTCTTATGTTATTTTGCAATTTTTGTCCAATCTGTGTATGGAGTCAAAAACGAAAATAGTGAAATTGGTCCTATTTCACAATGGTGAAAAATCATTGAAAAAACTCCAGGATCTAGATGATGAGCCAGATCAGGACCAAAATCTACTGGATTGGCTTTTTTTCCTGGTAAATTTGTTTTTAAAAAGTTATTTGATGATATTAAAAGGGGTTTATTTTGGTTGACCTGACAGCTTGATTGGTGATCCAGTACTGTCACTCCAGTTCTGGTTGATACTGCATAGAATCTGATTGCAAAAATGCCAAGATCGCAGCCGTTTTATTCACAGTATTTTAGCTTCGATTTTGCATAGTGGAAGGAAGTGGTGACGCACTTTCCATCAAATATACAGTCAATGGTTTAGACGTACAGACGGCTGGCAAGACTGCTTACCAGTTCACTTAAAGATATAATCGTAATTAGAGTTAAGCTTGCAATTTTGCCCTCCAGTGTTTTCCAGTACAGACACTTGGTTATCAGCTAGTATAGACACACTGGTTGAGAAACAGCATGACACGTGCACAGAAGGTTTTAATCACAGTAAAAATGGGCTTTGACCTTCTTCTCAAGAGCAGTCTGCTGTGTGATTACACTCCCTCAGCACACACCCGTCTTTATGCTAGGTGCCAGAGGATTTCTCTCCTCTGATCACCCATGTAATTCAATGTCCCAACAGTTTACAAATCAGCCAGGGATTTGTGATTCATGGTGCTCATCTAGACCTCAGTACTGTTGTCCCACTGAGGGATACAAAGGTGCAGACAAGCTCCGAACCATTAACTCAGGTGCAGCACCAGTTAAAGCATCATTTAGTTGCTTCTGAGTAAATGCTCTGAGCAACACAGCACTAGAGAGCAATTTGTATTTTTCCTGAACAAGCAGGAGCTTTGTGTCGCTTGTTGGCAGGGCGTAAATGGCATGACGCTGGTGACAAATAAAAAGCTTGGCAGTGCAGCTACATGGAACAGTCCAGAACAAAGTCATCCTCTGGTCCCTGCCCCCACTTTCATGTCTCAGCCCTCATATCTCAGGAAAAGTAAAAGCAAAACACTGTGAGTTACTGCCTTAACAGCTGACATAAAGGATTCAAATGTGCTCACACTTGTGCTTGTACACACAAGCTGGAAAATTGCATACATAATGTAGATCACTGCTCATCCTCATTAATAAATCATGAAAAGATGCATGTTAAGTGACTGATTGTTGGCTGGAACCCCCAGATTTTATAATGTGTAGCAACAAGAGGCTATAGTCATTTTTCAGAAATAAAACAATGACATTTTTTGAGCAAAATAATTTACAGTATATTTACAAGGATCAAAAGATTCACTGTTCAGAATGTGATCAGACATTATAACAATAATGCAATGGTAAAAGGGTGAATATTTTTATTAAATCTGCAAGGCTGCTTTGACAAATATTTGATTACATCAAACCAGGCACAAGAACAACCAGACAAAACGAACAAATCTTGCACTATTTCAAGTGCAACACATGAACAAGTAGAGCTTGTGAATAGAAAAGTGAAGACCTTGTTCAAGAAATACTGAGAATACATGTGAAAGGATTTATTTCATTTTTATTCAAAGCAAAGCAATGAGGCACATCTTGTGTACAAACAAAGTTTTAAATCAAGTATCTCTTAATAAAATGAGGAGCAAGTCTAGCGGAAAAGAGGAAATGGAACAGAAAATGGAAAATCCAATACAAATTAGAATCTTGGTGTGTCTGGACCAAACTGTTACTGTGTCAGTAGTGGAATATATAATGCATATAATAATTATTTATGGACATTAACAATCAGAAATTGACAGTCTTGTGTGTGTAACCCCAAATAGTTGAGTGCCAGTTCACCTAGCATTAGCATAAGTATGCAGACCTTGTTTATGTAGGACCAATGCCTGAACACTAACACTACATTTATGAACTGGACAATAAACCCATCTCAAGCCATATAAAATCTACAAACTCAAGTCCAATATAATTAGAATCATCAAGCCTGTGTTATGGATTAGAACTAATGCATCTTGTCATTTTGTAATAAACTTTGTCCCAGGGAGGAGAAACTGAAAAATTCAACAAACCTACTTGTCAAACTCCAGTCGTTCTTTGTTTGTCTGTGCAGCAGGGGTGTAGCTCAAATATCTGGACCTCCTGAGGAAAAATTGCTATAGACACTCCTATTTAACAAAATCATTCTTTTGGAATCAGTGTGGGCCCTCTCAAGCTGTGGTCCCCACAGCTGTCGCCGCCTTTCGATCCACTAGCAGTTTCGGTGCTTTGCGACAAAGACCAGACTGGATGCAGCTAGAAATGTAGGGTTCAGTGGCACAATTTTCCAGCTAGATCCAGTGGGGCATATGAATCTCCCAAGACACGCTCCCACTGTCAGTTCTTGTTGATTAACAGACACAAATTGGCCTTTGGATTAAAAGATCAACACCACTTTTGTGTCTACATTGTAACTATAAAGCTCTGTCTTCTTTCAGAATAACGTGATTTCTTACCATTAAGTGTGATTGTAATTTACGATTATTAAATTAAACGTTATTCATGAGTCCCAGATGATGTATGTTAATGACTTTGTTGACTTTCTGAATTTTCCTCTAGTACTACCAGAAGGCTGGTCTTTCTTGGTTTGAGTGAAATGCCTCACAAATATTGAATTATCATGAATTTTGATACAAATGCATTTTCACCCTTTGGATAAAATGTTAAACTTTGGTGATACCTTAATTTTTCATCTAGCGCCATCATCAGGTCAAAGTTTATATTTATCGAGGATCTTTGATTCATTCATTCATCTTTGATTCTTGCAGACTTAATAATGTTCCAACCAGCCTCAGCTGTACTTTGTGTTTAGTGCTGATTAGCAAACTTTGTCATGCCAACAGAATAGAACCTTTTACCTCCTAAACATGACCTTGTCAGCATTGTGATTGTGAGCATGTTAGCATGTTCACATTAGCATTTAGCTAGGACCACGGTGGCTAACCACTGTATGCTCTCACAGAGCCACCAGTATGGCTTTAGATTCACTCACTTCAGATACACATTTCACCTCTTACTACTTTTAGTAGCCTAAAACGAGATGTATTTGGATGATGAAGTTACACTTGGACTTTTAGTTCTGTCCACAACACAGCTCAATTTTAAAGTGTCGTAGAAAACATGGATTTGCAATCTCTGTAAACACTGGTCTGCTTTCTGTGTAATGTAATTTCTAGAATGTATAAAAGCACACAACATGTAATAACCTTGGAAAATATTTTCATTCCAATTCCTTTGGTTGCTGCTTACAGATATTTGATGCTACTCTTGCATATATAGTCAGTCTAGGCTTTCCACTTTCCAAAATGACAAATCAGACGTTTTTCTGTAAGACATGTGCAGGGGAGAAAGACAGGTCCCAGATGAATGCTAACTAGTCAAGCAGCACCCCTCCTATACCTCATACAGTACATGCTTACTCATCCTACTGTTAGCACATGTAAATCTGGAATAGGACTGGCAGAACAGCCTTCACACTCACAGAGGCTGAGTAAATGAACAGCCACAACAGAGGACACCAGGAAAGGAAAGGCTATGTTCCTGCTGCCCACTACTGGCTGTAATAATATGGGTGGACACAACATGGAGTGTCTTTCATCACATGCATCAAGAGAGACGCAAAATAAAGAACAAGGACAGAAAGCTCAAGTAGCAAAAGCTACAATGGTAACCTGGATTTTGAATCTCTTACACAGTGATCACATACAAAAGGGTTATTCAGAATGTTTAGTCAAAATGTGATTTTTGAAAAACACAAAACGACTCATATTGCAAAACTGACAAAGAAATGCTCTTTGCCAAGGTTTACAATTACGCTCCCTTTAACCGCCACTGTGACCCTGAATCATTCTGGGCTTTGCCATGAATGCCAAGTAGGACAGCCTTAAACGTGAGGGATGAGAGAAAGCTCTATAGTCCGACTGAATTACCCACATCACATTTCTCACCACGTTCAATTAATAAGGGCTATTGAATTTGTGACCATGCGTCAAGAATAATAAATACAATATTTCCTTCGAGGATCATTTGCAGATGATTAATGTTTTTGAACCACAAAGAAACTCAAGAAAAAAGGACGAAAAAAAAGAATCAATACCTGACACAGTAGGGTATTACTTCATGTCAGCCTCCATAG